CCCCCAAATGTTCAGCACAGCTCTGATGTCGCTAACATCTCCTTGAACTTCATTGATGGTGATTTGTGGCCCTCTGCTGGTGAGAAGAAAAACTGCACGATGCCAGTTTAAACTGTGGAAACAGCTTCAACAAACTCCGAATTTCAAAATAAAATCAATTGATTTACACTTTTATCTTTAAATAATTGTGTGTGTTCCCAGAAGATGTTGAAGTTGTCAGTGTCTGTGGTCACAGGTGGGAGTAGGAGCAGACGGGTAGATGAGCCTCACAGATTGCTGAGCCGAACAGAAGCACAAAGTAGTCTTTAAGAAGCAGAGCTCCTCCTATGTTCTGGTCCAGAAGCTCCACTCACTAGACCGTTCTCCTTTTCTGTTCTTTTCATGACCACTGCTTTCCCACATTCTCAATACTGACATCATTACTGTAGTCCAATCATCTTCTCGCCTGCCTTCTTTGAACCAATTAGCCTTCACTTTGCATGGTTTAAATCTGTGCTTTCCATCATTCTTCCTTTAAGACTCTTCTTTATGCATCCCACCTCCTCCCCATCTCCAACTCAGCCAGAGCTATATTCAAGGTTCAGTCTTCATGTTCACCACCACCAGTGTCCGGACTCCGGAGGGTCCTGTCCTAAATCCTGTCACTGCTGAGATTCTGTTCTGCCTTTGTTCACCAAGTTTTAATTTTAATTTCCTTGATGTTTTACCTTTAGATTGATTTTAAATAAACCCCTAATATAACAGAAAACTCTTGCACCTTGATGCAAATACCTTGTGCATGTAAACAGGCATGCTTGGTGCAATACAAATTTAAATATGTAGCATTAGATCTGTTCAGTTTCTCAATTATAAAGGTCATAACAATCTTAAGAGCTGGACTTTAAGTTTGTAATGACGTTTCACCTCTCATCCACAAGGCATAGCATAGCATAGCATCTTTATTTATAATGCACTTTACATCCAACAATGTTGACCAAAGTGCTACAAATATAAAACAGAGAGGAAACAGTTTAAATTACATATAAAATATCTTAAAATTAAAAATAATATAATTAATAAGAAACGTATTAAGAGACATCAACAAGTCCTGCTGTGCTAAAAGCCAAGGTAAATAAATATGTTTTAAGACGTGATTTAAAAACAGATAAGGAAGGTGCCTGTCTAACATGTAAAGGCAACTCATTCCACAATTTTGGTGCTGCCACAGCAAACGCCCGATCCCCTCTGAGCTTACGATTAGTCCTGGGCACGCTCAGGAGGAGCTGTTCTGCCGACCTGAGGGACCGGAAGGTATGTATGGATGAAGAAGCTCAGAGAGGTACAGCAGGGGCAGCATTGGACAAACATTTAAAAACAAATAAAAGCAGTCTTAAAATGGATCCTAAAATGCACGGGCAGCCAATGAAGTGAATATAAAACTGGGGTGATATGCTCGTATCTACGAGTGCCAGTTAAAAGGCGTGCAGCAGCATTCTGGACTAACTGCAGTCGAAAAACAGAAGATCGACTCACCCCAAAATAAAGAGAATTACAGTAATCCAGCCGAACGGTTACAAAAGCGTGGATTACTGTTTCAAATTGCTGTCTCGTAAGAAAGTGCTTAATTTTGGCCAGTTGCCTCAGATGAAAGAAACTAGACCTTACAACCAACCCGATCTGGCTTTCAAGCTTAAGCTCAGGATCCATTTTAAAACCCAGATTAACAATCTCTGGTTTATAGAATGATTTCAGGGATTGCAAATCAACACACGGAACAGCAGTGGAGGCAAGTCTGAACACCATTACTTCAGTTTTAGAATCATTAAAACAAAGAAAGTTTAGCGCCAACCACGACTTGACGTCCTCCAGACATGTTTGTAAATGATTTACAGACAACCCATCTTTCTTTTTAAGAGGAACATAAATCTAGCAGTCATCTTCATAACAGTGAAACGAGAGTCTGTGTTTTCTAAAAATTGAGCCCAATGGAAGTAAATAAAGTGAAAACAGGATAGGGCCCAGAATGGAACCCTGTGGTACTCCATGAGACAACGGAGCACGGGAGGACTCACAGTTTCCTAAGCGAACTGAAAAGGTTCGGTTTGTTAAGTAAGACCTGAACCATTTCAGAGCCACACCTGTTATACCGACACACTGCTCCAAACGTGAGATTAAAATTTCATGGTCTACAGTGTCAAATGCAGCAGTTAATTGAGTAAAATAAGAATGACACTTTCACCAGAATCACATGATAAAAATATATCATTAAAAATTCTTAAAAGTGCTGATTCAGTGCTATGCATTGCTTTAAAACCAGATTGAAAAATCTCCTGAACATCTTGTGCATTCAAGTATGAGATCAATTGGTCATATACAATTTTTTCCAAGACTTTAGATAAAAAGGGCAGCTTAGATATTGGTCTAAAGTTCTCAACAGCGTTTGTATCTAGCCCAGGTTTCTTAAGAAGTGGTTGCACAATTGCATCTTTGAAATTCTTTGGAACCACACCTGAAGTAAGGCTGCTATTTAAAATGGTTAAAATAGTTGGACATATGGTAGAAAAAACTTCTTTCAGAAAAAGGGGAGGGATAGGATCATATGGTGAGCCTAAAGGCTTTAAATGATCCACCACCTCCTGTAGCTGAGCAAGAGTAACCGACTCAAACTGTTGAAAGACAGCTGAGCAAATTGGAACATCAGAGGGGTCAGATGTGGGCAAAAATAATCTGCGCCCTAGCCGAGGCTACCTTGTTTATAAAGAAGTGCAGAAACCTTTCACACATTTCAAGTGAAGGCTCAAAACTAAGAGCAGAGGGAGGGCTTAAAATAGTCTCAATTGACTTAAACAATATGTGTGGTTTCTGATAATTCACCATAATAATGTTTGCAAAGTGTTTCCGCTTTGCTTCTTTTATTGTAAGCTGATATGAGGCCCAGCACTCTCTTAAACTTTGTAAAGAGACCTGTAAGTTATCTTTTTTCCATCTCCGCTCAGCCCTACGACATTCACGCCTTGCAGCACGGGTTTCATCATTCAACCAGGGTTCAAGCTTTGTCTTAGGATGCTTAATTTTTAGAGGGGCAACAATATCCAAGACAGTCTGACAAGTGGTATGAAACCAAAAACTGAGTTCCTCTACGTATTGGAATGTCTCAGGAATGGAGAACTGATTATAGTAGGTGGAGAACCGTGCTGCCATGGAAGAATTTAACAAACGAGATGTCTTTGCAGGGACAAGCCCCCTGAATTCATTTCTAGATAAAGAGATGTCAAACAGAACCAGCATATGATCAGAGAAAACAGGATCGGAGACTTTCAGATTAAAAACAGGCAATAAGTGGGCTAAAACCAGATCGAGAGTGTGGCCACACTGTTGCGTGGGTGCAGATACACATCGAACTAAATTAAAAGAATCAGTAAGATTCAAAAAGTCTTTAACCATGGGCTTATCTGGACAGCACACATGAATATTAAAATCCCCAACAATAAGAAAGGAGTCATATTTTATCGTGACTTCAGTTAGAAATGCAGCAAATTCCTTTATAAAGTCTTTACTGTATTTTGGGGCCCTGTATATTATTGTGCACAGTACAGGGGGAGAACAGGCTATTTCAAACAGTAACAGTTCAAAAGTGGAAAAATAAAATTCCAATGAAACCTGCTTGCACTTGTAGCAATCTCTGAAGATAGTAGCTACTCCTCCACCTCGACCAGATCTGCGTGGGACATTAAAATAGCAGCAGTCCAAAGGCAAAAGTTCTGCAAAGGCGCTGGAATCACCAGCAGTTATCCACGTCTCAGTTAAGCAGAGAAAGTCCTAATAGTGTGACAAAAAATATTCCTTAAGGATAAAAGTACGGTGGCCCTGAGAGGCCAAACGGACTGCAACTTCAGAAAACACTTGCAAAAAGAAAAATGCTGCAAAAAGAAAAAATGCTGCAAAAAGAAAAACGCTGCAAAAAGAAAAACGCTGCAAAAAGAAAAATGCTGCAAAAGCACAACGGAAATAGGAAAAAAGACAACGGAAATGTTTCTGGGGAGACAATAACCGAACGGACCAGTTGCACGAACCAAAACATGTATGTATGGCTGTATCCCAATTCAGGGACTGTTTCCCAATTCAGGGTCTGCAGCCTTAAAGTACGCAGCCTTAACGGTCCTCAAGGGCCGCACTCAAAGACTGCTGAGGCCGGAAGTGCGAGGCTTGTAGGCTTGTGAAATGGGACGGTCT